CTGAATTTTCTGTAAGTTATGACTATTCAGGATTAGACAGTACTTCCCCTGACAGTTTTACAGTAAGGAACACATGCAAGTAGAAGTCGTACCCGATGAGAAAGTAGTACCTCCAAAATTGACTCCTGAAAAGCATCCTTCTTTGCTGGGTCTCTTGGTGGAATGAAGACCAGGAATTTCTGCAGAGGGTTTGACGTACCCACCTTGTATTATATGCAGGATAAAATGGTTTTGGCAGAACTGCCTCCATTGTGGGAAGTTTTTTAGTCTTTCCCCCCCACCCTGGTTCTTTCGAGTTTTGCTGGTTGTTGGGCGTATATTTTGAAAGAAGCTAGGCTTTCCTTTTCCCTTGTTGAAAAGCCATTTACACTGGACTTTCTTTTTGTTTTCCGGCTGCTGTTCTTGTCTGTAACGATGGAAAATTCTTTGTCTTGTCTGTAGATTTTTTTTTTTTTTCCAACAGGACACCCTTTATTCCTGTCTGCTAATCTCTCAAGGACTTTTTCTAACTCAAGACCAAACGAGGTTGCCATCAAATGGGATTCCACACAACTTGTTCTTGGACACAAAAAGTCCTTCCCAAGTCTTGAGCCATAAGGCTCTTCTGGCTTTGTAAATAAAACCCGTGGTACGAGCCCCAATTCTTACCGTCTGCAGCTGGTGCGTCTGCTATATATGCAACCGTTTTATCCACCATTAAGTCCAGGGCTTCCTCTGTGCCCAGAATCTTTTCAAGGTGGACACAGAGCTGCTCTGGCTCAGGTGCCATATTTGCCGCCTCACCTTGGGCGTATTTTCCTCACCATTCCCAATATGGCCACCATACCTCGACTTTCGGTTCCAACGCCATCTTGAAAAAGTCACTTCTGATAAGGGCCGCTATCTTAGCCCTACAATCGTCCTGGGGAGACGAAAGCCGTGAGTTGTCTGCAAGGGGCAGACTCCAGGACCTCCTAGTCTAGTCCGTGCAAGGCCAGAAGGGATATAGCAGAATAATGCCCAGGGCCAGACCTCAGGTTAGTCCCCCCCCCACGGGTCTCAGCCTGTTAAAGCGTCTCCATCTGGGGTACAAACAGGTAGCCCTTCCCATTTAGGGAACTACAATAGCCTAGTAAGAAAAGGGAAGCCCTTGGGAACCCCTTTGTTCCCTTTTAGAGTACTCTACTCCCTCTCAACCTGGCCACTCCACAGTATCAAATGCATTCTCAATATCGAGAGAGTGGAGATGTGTGTATTAGTAAATCTACATAAGTCGATATCCTTGGACTTGCCGGACATGTAGCCTGTTTAATCTAGGTCAATTAGTTAATGGAGGACACTAAAGAGCCTGCCAGTAAGAAGCCTGGTGAGGATTTAAAAATCCAAATGTATTAGTGCAAGAGTCGGTTTGAGGCACAAAAAGCTGGATCTTTGGGTTTCTGTGCATTAGAGTGATGAGCTTCATTTATAGAGGATGGGAGAGAATCAGCAGCCAGACACTTGGTGAACAAAAAAGGTCAATCTCAGGGCTAGTATGTCATCTCCATGGAGTTTATAGAATTCTACAGGGTGGCCATCTGGGCTGGAAGCCTTACCCTCTGGGAAAGCTTATGACAGTAAGGACCTTTTCTGTTGTAATCAGGCATATGAGGGAATTTCCTAGTTGGAGAGCCAACCATATTTACATAGCAATATGTAAAAATACTCCACTAAGGATGCAAGACCTCCAACTGGGGTGATGTATTCTATGCAGTTACAATACTCATGATTACATTTGATAATTAAAATTGATACAGGTATACCGTGTCCTGGTAGGGGTATCAAGGAACATGAATCAGATGTCAACGACAGTAGTTATTCAACATGTTTTGCGAGGATATCGCTTCTTTAGGAGTTACTACATAAGAAATTGAATATAAAGATAACATTTATAAAATCAATTGTTACTTGTACAAATTCTGTATATACCTTGAATTATGGGCTACAATACGGGGATTATGGGGGGGGGTTAATTTTGTGTGGAACATCTGCGTCAGGCATCCGTAGCAGAGTATTTTTACACATTGCTATGTAATGGCTTATATTCCAATAATAAGTGATTTTAATGAATTATTGTTGCTGTGCCTTTAAAGTCCACATTCTGGCCTCTTTCTTTTGATTTATTATGCCCACACTGAAGATAACGGGGAGAGAAGACGGCCGGTGAAACCAGCTGTGGCGGAGGACGCTGCTGGACCGAGGGACAGGTAAGTGTCCATATTTTAAAAGTCAGCAGCTACAGTTTTTGTAGCTGCTTTTTTTTTTTTATTCAACGGGAACTCCGCTTTAAGGAGACTTTCTTCCACCACCAAATTTCAGTTTATAGAAATTTTCTGACAGCGCCCAGTATGCCAGATGGTCCAGACTATAGGGCAAAGGCTTGTTTAGGTCCAGGGAAAGAAGTTATTAAAATCTCCCATGATCAGTAGTTTAGCAAGGGATCACTCTATCCAGCACAAGAGGCCATTGGAGAAAGAAGGGGGGGTACAGAGCTGCAATGACATTTCTGTTGCCAGATTGACAGTACCACAATTACACATTTACCATGGGGGTCCATATGTACAACTTCTATGACGCCTGGAAGTGATTTGTTAATAAGGACCGAAACCCCTCCAGAAAAGGTACCGTGTTGCGTGAGAACCTTTTTGCATCCAGGTTTTTTATCCCAGTCAAATTGTTTTGCTGCCCATCAGGCATGTCTTCTGCAGTAAAAGGATACAGACGGCATGAGGTAGTAAATCAACCCCAATGTTCAGGGGTTAAAAAAAAAATGGAAACCCTACATGATTTTCAGGTGTCAAATTGACATGTTCTTCATTGAAAGCAGAAGTGATGTAACATTATTTTGCTTCCGCGGTTTGATGAGACACCTAGCTAACAGGTGGGAAGCCTCACTTTTGTCATTCACTGCGTGCACTGCTAGTAATATGGAATCATGTCTGAGCTTACTGAGCCTCAAAGAGGGCAAATAATTGGTGCCCACTTAGCTGATGCCTCTAACTGAAGTTGCCAGTTTATTTGCCATGTCACAAGGTACATTATCAAAGGTTATCACGAAATGTGCAGTTTCCGATAGACACAGGGACATTGTGCAGGATTGTGACAGAATAAGAAAACTGCTGCAAAAGTGACTTCAGAGTTAAATCTCAGATATGGCCTGGGCAGGAAGGGGTGAACGTGCACAGTATTAAAGTGGTTAAATCTTTCACCTCCCACCACTCCCTGTATCTTTCCTGTTTTATCCTTTTAGACAATTTTGTTATGCATGAAGAGCATTTGGGGAGTATGTATGCAATAAGTTGATTTTACTGTGGAGTGCAACTTATCTACTGCATATTTCCTGGGGTAGAAGAAAATCACAGAGCAGTGACGCAGCCATTTGCACCAACCATGACACACCAATGGCTTAATGAAGGTGGCACTTCCTACTTTTGAAATGTAAGGCAGATTTTTAGATTTTGTCAACAATTATGGCAGCCAATAGACTAGCAGAGACAAGACGGCACAGCAAGAACATCATTGTGACAAATTATTTGGGACACCCTTTACCCTTACTTTTTCAATTTTTTTTTTTATTTAAAAAAAAAAAAAAAAAAAAAAAAATCTAGTATTAACCCCTTGGCGACAATGTCACACAAATATGCAGCCATTGAATTTCTCTCTCCTTGCAGAGTGAAGGAAAAAAAAAAAAAAAAAAAAAACTAATAAGAAAGCACTGACCTAGATCAAACTTTTTTTTTTTCTTTAAGTGTTTTATGTAGAACACACACACACACAAAAAAAAAAGGAAGCAAAATGTGTACTATTGTTTCTGGGCTGTACTACGGGTACAAACAACATGCACATGTTTTATCGCTGTGATAGTCAGGAGCTGGAAAATTTATTTTGGGTTCTTCCTTGTTGGTAGGTTATGGTAGTAACAAAACAAACAGCTAAAAGGTATAATCCATCTGGATACACAAAGTAGTTGTGATGTTATGTACGATTTTACTAACACGTCAAAGTTGCAAAATTTTACTTCTGCATAAGGATTTGTTTTATCCTAAGGCGTGGAGGGGTTAAGTAGAAGAGTTTACAAGTGGCTTTATATGCTGTATAAAATGGCTTTAAAAAAATTAACAAGTACTGTAATTACATGCATGTTAAACCTGGAGACCAATCTGAATTTACATTTCCACACAATAATTTCTGAAAAAAAGCTAGTAGCCAAAAATTATTGGCATGTGGCAAGGCACAAGTGGTGAGCAAGTGGGTTTGAGTAAGGCAAATGCTCCAATACCTCACATGGCTATTACTGGTAATGAAAAGGTTTGCCCATTATACACACCTAACGCGCCTACCTCCCCATCATAACCATTTAACACAACTTCACACAATCACTGAATAAATATAAATTAACAGTGTATTCTAGTAATCAAAAGAGAAAGGGTAATGCTTAATAATACAAAGACAATATTTCACGAAGTCACCAATAAGCCACAAGTTTATTAAATCAATAGAAATAGTATAAATCTCAATTCCAGCTGCACCGACCCAAGAGCAAGACGAAAGGAGATCAGTCTGAGGGATCCTCACATCGTCAACTCCTACAAAGACAGGAGAAGCAGAGTTAAAGCACAAAATTAATTTCCCTCATTAATTAATCTCCCTCAACAACCATGGTTTTCATAGCTGCAAATTACATTCACTGTCATTTTTTATGAGGGAGCTGTAATAAATTTTGCATTTTAAAAAAAAACCCACATTTTTATGTCCTTATGGTCCAGTATTCAGATTAGTGTTTCTGTTTTGTTTGTTTATTTACAGTTAGGTCCATATATATTTTGACACAGGCACAATTTTAGTTTATTTTTTTCAGGTATTTACCAAAACATATTCAAGCTATAGTTATAGAATGGATATGGGCTGAAATTGCATACTCTCAGATTTAATTTGAGGGTATGTACATCCAAATTGGAGGAAGGATTTAGAAATTACAGCTCTTAAATAGTCATCCCCTCTTTTTCAAGGGACCAAAAGTAACTGGACAATTGAATCAAAAGTTGTTTCATGGCCAGGTGTGAGCTACTCCTTACACATTTGGAATATGTACGTACCATGATAGCATTTACTATATCGTTGCTGTTGTTCTTCAGAGCGCGCACAGCCTTCGCCCTAGACACGTTTGCCTGTGACATTACAAGCTCAATGTCCTTCACTTCTACACCAGTCTCGTCAACCTAAGATCAAAAAAGCAAAAAAGTTACATACATGTAACACAATCTATTCATGGAAAACATTAAACCATTCAAATCACAACACTTAAGGCCCATTCACACCAGAAACTACACGCTTACTGCAGCAACGTGCATTTGGAGCACTATATTATGTACATTTGCAGTGTTTTTTTTTCCCTGAGCTTGTATTTCCTTTGAGGCAATTTCTGTCTCCTTTGGGCTTAAATGTGCCACGCATTTTCACACCTTGCGTGTGTTTATGTGTATTTGCAGTGCAGAAAATATAGCTTGCTGTACTTTTTTTCACTGCACTGCAATAGTGTAAACATATGGTCACAGGCTAACCCAAATTTTAGACTGTCTCTTCGGTTGGAGTGCAGTCACAAATGCAACTCGCTACATCTGGTGTGAATGACCCTTACTTGTATCAATCATATGCATTTCGAGGGGGTAGATGAGACTTGTAACCCAAGGCTTAGTAAGGCGGGATTGACCCTTTTACAATTTTGCATCAAGACAAGTCAATAAGTGTGTTAATGTACATCACCATGTGTTGGCGTGCACTATAATGTACAATGGGGAGCAATATGTGCTCTGAAAAATTTCCTTTGATTTAGAACGAAAAAAAAAAAAAAAAAAAAAAAAAAGCATCAAAACGTTTAGGTGTGAAAGAAAGCAGCCTAAATCTCACAAAGAAAGGCAGTCCATTAATTTGAGGAAATTACAGTTTATGTGTGCACTTCTTGAGTTTTTTTGTCATGATTCGAAGAGCTTGTCCCCGGCTTTTAAGTAATAGCAGGCTCCAATTCTGAGAATTTAGAATTTGACCACCCCTTGTGCTACTACATGTACTGTAATTGAAAGTTTCATTTCAACCCTGTGCTCTCCACTTTTAACCTCATATGGTCAGAATATTTTTGTAGTATTTCACTTACAGCTTTCAGAGTTTGTAAAAGACCCCCCTAAACCAAACATTTTCTGAAGCATAGGACTGGTAGAATAAAAATAAGGCGCCACTGTTTTTTTTTTTTTTTTGTCCTGCAATATTTGCACAAATATTTACCAAAATGGCATTTTTGCTAAAAATACACTGAAATAATTATTAGTTGCCACGAACACAACTTACAAAATTGCATGCTAAAACTTCACAGCAGTGGGGGAATTTTAAAGAGGAGGAAGAGATGTCAGAGCGCTACCGGAAATATCAGCAGAGACAGGAAGGGAGATGCAAATTTAATGTTTATAAATGTAAGGTGATGCACTTAAGGGCTAAGAATATGCATGCATCATACATACTGGGGGGGGGGGGGGGGGGGGGTACAACTGGGGGAATCAATGGTGGAGAAGGATTTGAGTGTTCTGGTAGATCACAAGCTTAATAATGGCATGTAATACCAAGCTGCGGTTTCTAAAGCAAGCAAAATCCTCTCTTGTATTGTATAGACTCCAGAAAAAGAGGTATGATTTTACCCCTGTACAAATCATTAGTAAGACCTCATCTGGAATATGCAGTTCAGTTTTGGGCACCCATTCACAAAAAGAACATTGGGAAACTGGAGAAAGTACAGAGAAGGGCAACCAAACTGATAAGAGGCATGGAGGAGCTCAGCTATGAGGAAAGATTAGAGAAACTGAATTTATTCTCTCTTGAGAAGAGGAGATTAAGGGGGAAGGGGATATAATGAACATGTATAAATACATCAGTGGTTCATATAGTGAATCCAAAAAACAGAGGTATACTGCTCAGGCAAACAATCCACAACAGGTGCAGGCTCTGGCTTTACACACAATAGTGCAATAGGAAGAAGGGTCGCCGCACACACCGGAGGAAGGATGAATATATATAGTGTGCATTTATTGATCCATAGGACACACAAAACACCAGGACATGAATACAGAACCTGTTAAAGCGTTTCACACGATCTCATGCTTAATCATAACCAACATAACTTATGATTAAGCACGAGATTGTGTGAAACACGTTAACAGGTCCTGTATTCATGTCCTGGTGTTTTGTGTGCCCTATGGATCAATAAATACACACTATATTCATCTATCCTCTATTGAACAGCTGACCTTTCTTCCTAGTTCATATAGTGAACTTGGGGTAGAGTCATCTACCTTTACAGGGGACAAGGTCACTTTTACGTCTGGAAATACGGAAAGGTTTCTTCACAGTGACTGTGAAAATGTGAATAGACCATCAAGACTTGTTCTGGCCAGCTCAGTGGAATGCTTTAAAAAAAGGTGATTAGGTGAATAGCTGTGATAAGCTGCTTGGCAACCGTCGATCCAATTCTGTATTCAGCAGTTGAACAGTTTTAATTTACCATAAGGATTAACTGACCTGGCCAGCCAGAAACGGTGCCTTAAGCCAGTTTCACACAATTTTTATTTAAATGCCCAATTCGATATTAAATAGGCATGTTTACCTTGATAACTAGACAATGCGAACACCTGCTTAGCAACAAGAGTCCTTTTTTAGCTTGAGAATGCAACAAGATCAGTTTATAAGGGGCCTCACAAAACTTCTTACTTGAGATTGGATACATTTGCTGTTTCTATATAGTACAGACCTACCTTTAACAGGCAGTGTTCTGGAACAAAACTGAAAGAGCCATGTATAGTATAGATCACTGAGGCAACCATGTTGAACAGTTTTATTTTACCATGTATATCTACTGTAAACTGAAAAAAAAAGCTCTCACCTCTTCCTCTTCGCTCTCCTCTTGTACTGTGGGAGTTTGTGTGTTTTCCTGTATGTTTGACACTTTCTCCCTGTACCTTGAATTTTTCGGCAGCAGCAAGCTGGGCTTGTTGTGAGAGATCTTCAATCTAGCAGTGTTGAAAAAACAAATTGTAATTTGCCTTTAGGCTAAATCACACAGCAAAATATATTTCAATATATAGCAATGAATCCTGTTTCGACAATACTATAAAATTATTACTGTCTAGTTGTGGTACATACCTTAGCCTCTCCGAAAACAATGTAGGTGTCAGATGCTGGACTCTTGTATACATCTGGTTTTGTAATGACAAATAAGATGTTTTTGGATTTTCGGATAGTGACTCTTGTGACCCCAGTGACCTGGCGAAGCCCCAGCTTTGACATAGCCTAAGAAAGAAAAAAATGTGGTACAGCAGGGTTAAGCCTATAAAAGTTACTTAGTTGATTCATTTAAATTACACTAAATTGAACCATTTTCCTACAAAATTTCCTAAGAAACTACCTTTTGGGAAATTATACCATTATTTTTTCTTTTAAAGAAAGACATTTCTGCAGACAGTTCAACCCACCAATGCCCATGTAATTTGCAAAATCATTACTGAATTTATATAGCGCCAACGGTTTGCTCAGCGCTTTACATTATAGTGGGAGACAATACAGTAACAATACAAGAGGGAGTTGAGGGCCCTGCTCCTTAGAGCTTACAATCTAGGAGGGAGGGGTTAATGGTACAATAGGTAAAACTGTGGGGGATGGAGTGGTTGGAAGCGTAGAGGATACCAGTATTAGCAGAGGGTGGGATAGGCTTCCCTGAAGAGATAGGTTTTCAATGATCGCCTAAAGGTAAGTACAGTAGGTGATAGTCTGATAGAATGGGGTAGGGAGTTCCAGAGGATGGGTGATGCCCCGGAGAAGTCTTGGAGACAAGCATGGGAGGAGGAGATAAGGGAGCTAGAGAGTAGGAGGTCTTGCGAGGAGCGGAGTGTACGGGTTGCGTGATATTTAGAGATAAGATCTGATATGTAAATTGCGGCAGTGTTGTGGATGGCTTTATATGTCGTTGTTAGTGTTTCGAATTTTATCCGTTGGGCAACTGGGAGCCAGTGGAGGGATTGGCAGAGAGGGGTGGCAGATACAGAACGGTTCGTAAGGTGGATGAGCCTGGCGGCAGCATTCATTATAGGCTGGAGTGGGGATAGCCTGCGATGAGGTAGGCCAATGAGGAGGGAGTTACAATAGTCGAGGCGTGGTATGACAAGGGAGTGAATAAGTAGCTTAGTGGTGTCCGGGGTTAGGAAAGGTCGTATCTTGGAGATATTGCGGAGGTGAAGTCTGCATGATTTTATCAGCGATTGGATCTGGAGCTGGAATAACAGATGGGAGTCTAGGATTACACCTAGTACCCTGGCATGGGGGGATGGACTGATGATTGTGTTACCGATATTTATGGTGAGGTCAGGGGAGGGGGCATGGGCTGGGGGGAGTACTAAGAGCTCAGTTTTGGAGAGGTTGAGTTTGAGGAAGTGGATTGACAACCAAGCCGATATGTTACTTAGTAGGCTAGTGATGCAAGTGGGAGACTGAAGGGGTGAGGTGAGGGGTAGAAAGATAGATTTGCGTGTCATCAGCATAGAGATGGTACTTGAAGCCGTGAGAGTTTATCAAGTGACCAAGGGAGGAGGTGTAGATGGAGAAGAGAAGGGGTCCAAGGACAGAACCTTGAGGGACTGCTACAGAGAGAGGGAGTGAAGAGGAGGTGGCAGCGTTAGAGATAACCCTGAAGGAGCACTGCGATAGATAGGAGAAGGAGAGAGACCAGGAGAGAGCGGAACCAGGAGAGAGCGAAGTCTCTGATGCCAAGAGAGTGTAGTTTTTTCAGGAGGAGGGGATGGTCAACCGTTTCAAAAGCCGCGGAGAGGTTGAGTAGTAAAAGTATTGAATAGTGGCAGCTGGTTTTTGCAGTTAGTAGGTCATTGGAGAGTTTTAGTAGGGCAGTTTCAGTGGAGTGTAGAGGGCGAAAGCCAGACTGTAAAGGGTTGAGAAGGTTGTAGTCAGTGAGGTGGGAGCTCAGATGATTGTAGACTAAGCGTTCTAGGAGTTTAGAGGTAAATGGCAGCAGGGAGATGGGTCTTAAGTTGTTTAGGTTGGTGGGGTCTGGGGAGGGTTTTTTTTTTTTAAAGTATGGGAGGGGAAGGCACCTGTAGAGAGGGAAAGATTGAAGATGTGAGGGAGCATAGGATGGAGGAGGAGGGTGACCGAAGGAGTTGCAAGGGGACAGGGTCCAGGGGGCAGGTGGTGAGGCGGGCTTCTGAGAAGACCTTGAGGACCTCTTCGGTGGTAGTGAGGTCAAAGGAGGAGAGTGTTGAGGGAGGTATGGTATGAGGAATTAAAACAAAAAACTAGGGAGGAACTCTCATTCAAATAAGACAGGTCTAGAATACTCCTCTGCAACAATAGTTAATTTATAATGGGACTCAATAAATTAATTTGGATAATTAACATTAACAATCCATAATGATTTACTCCAAATTAGAATATAGTAAAAATAAAATGTGGATTTGCAAATCTATGAACATTTTTTATTTTGTAATGACAAGCTGCCTCTGTATATGGGACCAGTTACCTTTCTTGCTTTCTTCTCACTCCTGCTTTGTTTTGCTTTGCTGACAGGTTCCTCATCTATTTCTGCTGCTGCGGCAAGCTGTAAGAGATGTGCAAAAGGGTGTTCGTGTATGGCGAGCCTATCATAAGCCTTATAAACATGTTCAGACTAGGAAAGATTACATTTTTGCATTCAATGATCAGGTTTGAAAATATGGCATTTAGGACAATATGGCAGATAGAGTGATGCTATGAGAGAAAAAGCAACTTCTGGTAAATTATTAAAGTGGTTAAAAAGGTAAAAGATTTTTTCACCTTAATGCATTCTCTGCATTAAGGTAAAAATCATTTTACATGCTTCTTCCCCCTCAGCAGTCCCTAAATACTTACCCAAGCCTGATCTCAGTCCAGCGCTGTGCACGGCTGCAATAGTCCCTCTCCAGCCGCTGGATCCTGCTGCTGTCAGTCAAAATCAGTGAGTTGAGAGTGGGGTCAATCAGGCTGTGTGTCTGAATAAATGCAAACAGCTCTGCTGCGAGCCCACACGAGTGCTCCCATAGGATGTGCCACTCTTTGGGGCACCATTGCAAATTTTTTTTTTAACTATTCTAGAGGTATGGAAGGGTGGGGGTGGAGGGTCTATAAAAGGAAAAAAAAAAGTCATGAAAAAAAAACCTAGTCTATCGAGTATAGAGTTGCAGAGCTACTAAATTAGTCTTGTATGAATTATGGGGTAAAGCAAAATAAGATATTGTATGTCTGAGCAATAAAATAAAAACATTTTGGTAGATGCCTGCAATACATGCACATTGTCATTTATTGAAAAACAAAGCAGATGCAGAATAAAACTTGATTTGTTGGAATTTCCGTGAGCTCCCAAATTCCTATTTAGGCTGATAACACTGTCTTTACTGCATTCAAGTCTTAAAAGGATAGGTTTACCTTTTGAACAGGTTACATGTTACACCCATATCTAGGGTGCAACAGGTTTAAAAGATACCCCCCCCCCCCCCCATGTAACATGTTCAAAGCGACCCCCACCCTGGTGACTTTTCCTTCTGTCACATATTAACCAGCCCGCACAGTCCCATCATTCATGCACGTAATCTGTGAATGAAGAAAACACAAGTCCCATCTTCTACTGCGGCAGACAGCTTGGAGTTGTCAATGGACTGCGAGAGTGCTAATGAGCACCTTTGTAGTCCATTGACACTTCCTTCAGCTTTAAATAGAAAGCCTGTAAAGCGGTATGGGCAAGAAAGCTGGGGTAAGTGTCTGCAGGAGCCTGACACTACACCTGTGACCCACTGATCAAGGGTACAATGCTCTGCATGCCCCTGTGGGAAAAATAAATGCAATTTTTTTCCATGCAAAAAGTATGTGCCTCTATTTTCAAAATGTGAACTTAGCCTTTAAACAGTTGTTTCAGCACTGCCAGGTTCTCCTAAGAGACTACCGAACATAACATAAGGGGAGGTGTTCTACAGTCCATAGGTAAACTGGACACCATTTTTTGAGATTTTAGTGCAGCAACGGCAAAGTATACAGGAGGTTACTATATTTATGAAAGGAACAGCAGATATTGTTCCTATACTTGCAATTGTAAAAAAGTATAAACTATGTGGAATTGTGTATGTACTGCAAAGATGTGCTGAATGCTTTTTATTTTTGCGCAGAAGTGCACTTTAATGCTTGCATTTTGGACATCTACGGTCTATGGAGCAATTGCATTTAAAAAAAATAGGATGGTAGAAGAAAGGAGAAAAGAATGCCACTAGGGATGTGCTTTTACAAGTTTAACACGCAACGGATGCAAGTCAGAAAGCAAACCAGATGAGGATTCTTATTTTAAAAAGGTGTGAAAAAGTTTTCAGGGAAGTCCAAAACATTTTGCAAAGTAGTCACATAGCAGAAAATACAGATATTTATCCCAATTAATCTTGCCAGTGAGAGAAAAGTAATTTAGTAAACACTTTACCTGTGCCTGCTGTGTGGAAGTTTGTGTTGAGTCCTGTTCCAACTCTGGAGGAGAATCATCGCTGTCTGACTCTGTTCCTGACCCTATGAAAAGTCAAATAATCATAATTAGACTTCTGTTCTACCAGATGATGAATTGGGACTCGCATTACTGCAACAAACCTACAATGGAGGTAAAAGCTTAGTTAGATTAAGGTACATATTAATATCACACAAGCAAAAAAAAACTAAAATTCAAATATCCTTGATAGATTTAGTAACATTCACCTAAACTCTTGAAATGTTCACAAATCCAAAATTCACTGTGCAGATGTAACTGTCCAAACTCCATGCAATTAACACAAAACTGAGAATCTTACACATTACAAGGACAAGACTGCCTTTGGTGCAACACTTGGATCACAATAAGAGAACACTAGACCAAGTGTGCTTTGCCAGTTTATCAAACTTCACAATTTAGCCTTTTAAAATGTAGGTTGACATAAATTAAAGTTGTTCTTAAAACACACACTTACTGATGCTGTGTCAGAGAAATTGGATGCAGAATTCAGAAGTGTAACTGGATTAAGCACTGTATATTCTAAAATGACTATATTACTAGTAGAGGCCTAGCTTTGTTATAGCATGGTGAACATGATAAAAAATATATGGCCACTGTGAAGTATGGCTTATTTGCACACACCATCTACTAGACAATAGAACAGGGTGACAAAGATTACACCAGGCTAATGTAGACAAACTAGCACAGACAATAATTCTGGAGACATCAGGCAAGATGGCCAAGACCAGAGAACTCGATACAACATACACTTTCATCTATTCAATGTAGTTATTTTGGGCTGCTGTACAAAAAAAGCAAGGAAATCCTTGCCTAAATTCGAATTTCACTTACTAAGAAATGAAACAATGAATCCGACTGGTTGTTATAGGAAATTGTTTTACAAAATCTGTAGATTTCCTTGCTCTAGTTTTTATGCGTCAGCAAATGTCCCAATAAATGTTAGCAAAAGAAAAAAATTTCTAAAATTTTGGGTTGTTTTCCTTCCGGGCTTTACCAAGCTTATGCTAACTAATGGAGAGGTTTCTCAGATTTTAACTATAATATTTAGGGTAGCGATCACCTAAAGGAGAGAACTTCACACAAAATAGACCTCACTGCAATACTCCGAGCACCTTTCATTAGATTTACCTCAAACAACAAAATAGGTAACAATCATATTTCAGAAATGTCTGCTGCCTCAATGCGACTCAGAGAATACTGCACTTGTGTAAGTGAACTTTACTTTCAGGACATCACAGCGGCTAAATGGTTAGCACTTCCACCTGGAAGCTCTAGGGTCATTGGTTTGAATCCCAACCACGGCACCACCTGCCTGGAGTTTTCATGTTCACCCTCAGTGCGACCCATAGTGCTTGCGTGGATTTCCTCCAGGTACTTTGGTTTCCTCCCACACTCCAAAGACATGCTGGTAGGTTACTTGGATCCTGCCCAAATCGGCCCGAGTATGTGTATGTATGAATGTGTGTTAGGGACCTTAGGTTTCACACTCCTTGAATGTTAGGGACTGATGTGAGTGTTATATAAAAAGCACCACATAAATTGGTGTTATACAAGTACCTGTAATAAATAAATTTCAAAAATGATGTAACTATATAAGTTAAAAGTGATGTAACACTACATAAAGGTTGTAATTTAAGGTACAATAATTGGTATAAATAGTATTAGCAAGAACCCCACAAGGAAAGAGAAAATCTAATGATTGTAAGGCCCATGAGAATTTAAAGGAGAACAAATTGTTTGCCATATCTATTTCATGACATCTTACAAATTTAAGAGGAAAGAAAACCACCCATATTTCTAATAAATGCCACACACTGTGTTAGTAATATTTTAATGGCATTACGCCCAACACCATGCATTGCAACAACGTTCTAAAAAAATACCAGGTAAAATACCCTTGTCATTCTTCAGCACGGGCTCCTTCAGAATGGGGGCTACAGGAAGTTTGGGAGGAGCGATGTTTACCACAACAGGTTGGAAGACCGTCTCCTCAGCAGGAATCTCTGGAGGAATTAGGGGTGGCATTTCCTCATCTTCAGCCGGAGGTGCAGGTGGGACAGTTTCAGAGGCAAGAGGAGAAATAGAAGAAATGGGAACAGTAGACACAGGCTCTAAAGAAGGCAAAGCAGCAGGAAGGGTTAGCTCTTTGGCAGGACTTGCTGCATCTAGCTCTGGAGTAGGCTGCGTAGGAGAGGAAACACTCTCAGCTTTACTAGCTAGAAGAGGAGAAGAAAACACATTAAAAGAAGCAGAAAAAGAATGATCAGTAGATAGGGTCAAATCATTGCTGATGACAGGTGCAGCAGAAGCAGGCATGAGTAGAGAGGTGGTGCAAACCATCAGTAGGGAGTCAGAGTTAATGGTGTCATTAAAAGAGGATTTCAGTGAAACATCAGAAGGCACTGAAATACTGGAATAGGCATGCTTTGGCTCAAAATGATAAGTATTTGCAAAGGGTGCATCATGCAGGTTTGAATCAGTGGTATGGAAGTGAACAAGTGCTTGTTCAGATATAGGGTCAGATTCTATTGGTAGAGCCTTAGATTTTGCTTTAAATATATCCTCCATCACTTTCTCATCAGCAGCCACAGATGCCTCCTCACTCTGCTCAGTGGCTTTAGAGTCGGCAGCAAGAGCTTCCACAGTTGACACTGCAGTTTCAATGTGAGCGGTCAGAGCCTCCTTCTGGACAGCTTTAGAGCCGGTGCCCGGAGCTGCCTCCTTGGCAGCTTCAGGGCCAGTGGCCTCTTCCTTGGCAGCTTCAGGGTCGGCGGCCATAGCCATCTTCTTAGCGGCATCAACCAGAGGTGCCACCTCCAACTCAGCAGCTTCAGAGCCAGCAGCCAGGGTCTCTTCCTCAGCAGCTTCAGAGCCGGCGGCCGGGGCCTCTTCCTCGGCAGCTTCAGGGGTGGCGGCGGCCGGGGCCTCATCCTCGGCAGCTTCAGGGGCGGCGGCGGCCGGGGCCTCATCCTCGGCAGCTTCAGGGGCGGCGGCGGCCGGGGCCTCATCCTCGGCAGCTTCAGGGGCGGCGGCGGCCGGGGCCTCATCCTCGGCAGCTTCAGGGGCGGCGGCGGCCGGGGGCCTCATCCTCGGCAGCTTCAGGGGCG